CATCTATCTCCACCCAATATTCTCTTTCTTTGAATTACATGCTTTGCATGGGTGAAACATGCTAACTTGTGAAAAATTAGGTTTGGATCAATACTGGACACATCTGTAGGGCTCTATGAAAAGAGGTTAATATTCAAATTAAGTATTTTAGAATGTTTTTGTCAATCTTCCTCTTGTAGGGTTTGTTCGATCTTGGTTACCTGGTCCTTTATTTTTTCGATTTGGACTTCCATCAATTGTTCACTGAAGTTCAGTCTATCTTCGTCGAATTCATCTTGGGGTGTCTAGGTATACTGGTGCATATGTAGTGCAACACTCTTCATGCTTTGTGTTCTCCTTTCGCTCATCCATCTTGTTTTATAATGAATAGGGTGTGACCTTGAGGCTTCTAATGTAGCATGCCTGTGCTTCCTTTGGATTTGATCCGATTGTTACAATCGTGCCATCTTCTGATGAATGGAAATTTCATCGCCATGTGTACGGTTGAAACGATGGCTTCGAGATGATTCAATATTTGTCTTGCTATTAAGACATTATAAGACATTTTTGTCTCTATAAGTATGTAATCAATCACCACTCATTTGTTATGGTTTGTTGAGCCAAACGTGGTGATTAAGTCAATGTATCCTTTAGTATGTATGCGTTCCTCGGTGAAACTGAGTAGTCGTTCAAGGTAACGTTGAATTAGTGTGAGAGGGACGCCGAGCTTGAGAAAAGTATACTAATATAGGACATCAACTTCCTTGGTCGATTAACGTTTTCTTTACCTCCCAATTATCCATCTGCACTATGACTACCACCAAGTCATCTAAAGTCGGTTCATGAGATCCGAAGTCCTTGTTAGAAAAGGTTATAGGTGGTTGAGTCCTCCTATGCATGGTGTTAATATTATGTACAACCCTAAGATGTCGTTTCCATGTGAAACTTGTTGATCCTTCGCTTGCAAATCCATTTACAATGGTGTTGATAACTCCTTGGATGACCGGTGTGAGACTGTTTGTCCTTCCATCCTCAATTTCTTGATGTTCAATATGATTTTGTTTGGTTGAGATGAATTAAGAGGTGGTGGTAATGAGGGAGCACCACGACCACAACCTTTGGTATAAAATCCTCCTCATCTTCCTCGACCTTGTCCACAGTATCCACCTCGTCCTCGCCCTTGTCCTTCATTTTGTTTGTTACTTATAAACTATGTGAGCGAACCTGACCTGATGAGTTCTTTAATAATATCTCTGACCTTTTTGCATTTTTGCGTGGTATGCCCATAATTTTGATGGAATTGGCAATACTTGGTTGTGTCTGCATGGACTGATGTTGGTAGTGGTGGAGGGGCATGCATGAGTTCCAGGTTAAATGCTTCTTGGAAGATCACTTCTTAGTTGGTGTTTAGGGGAGTATAGCGTTCATACTTAATGGTCCTAGGTTTTTTGTAAAGTTGGGTGGAATGTGTTCGATAGTTGGTGTGCTTTTTCTTATATCTAGTGTTGTTATATTTCATTCAGATATAATTGACTACTCGGGCACGCAACTCATTGAGGGACCTTGGTGGATAAGCAAAACAATTGTCCATTAAGGGTCTTGGTTGTAGGACAACTAATATGGCATGTAAGGCCACTTCTGGGCCAACTATAATATGGTGAGACATGTTGGTCTTTTTTACCCACCAGCCCACTCTGGCTCACTTCGCCAAACCTATCAACCTATCGGGAAAACCCGCAGGTTAGGGCGGGTCAGCTCGCAGCCCATATAATTAATAAAAAAATAAGTTTTTTATTAAAATACAATTAATCATAAAGATAATAAATGAAGTTAAAAATTGTAAAAAAAGAATTAAAAAAGTCTCACTTTCACTCATTATAGGAAACATTCTCCTTACTCAAACACAAGTTCCTCTCTCTTCTCTTTTTCTTGTTGCTCATTATCTCTTTCTTGTTATCCTAAGCACTTATTGTTCTTATCCTCATCACTTGAATCAAATGTATAAGAATTACTCAAGAGGGAACAATGTGAAGTTTTATCAAATAAAAAAGATATAGATATTTGAATTTTTCAATTAAAAAGTATAAATTTACAAGTTTGAACATTATTTATAAATATTTGTTATTATTTATTATTATATAAATTTTACTATTATTCTAAATTATAATTTCTTAAAATAATGTGTTGATTTATATTATTAACTTAAAATATATGTGTTGAATTATTAACAAACAAATGATAATCTTATTATTAAATTTATTGAAAATTTTGATTTAAAAAAAAATAAATGATTGTTTTTAAATTATGGCGGGCTAGCCCATTTTGTCATCCCTACTTCTAGGTTCAAATTTGATATCGTATTTGAAACTCGAGCGAACCGGTCCATAAAGCTTCGAAGGGATTCACATTCACCCTGTTTCACGCCTTCCAAAGCCCTCGATGTGGCTTCGTGCATATTACTAGTTACGAACCTAACTCGAAATGTTCCACCAACGTATAGTATGAATTTGTGGAGTTATATGACAAGGAGTTGTACCATCGTAGGGCTAACCATCTTAATGTGGTGGAAAAAAACTTGGCAGGGGATGACTCTAATGTTGGTGTATAGCTTTACTTGTGCCTTGTACATTGCTAAGTATTTTTCGGGGTCCGTTGTTCCATCGTACTTTTCTATGTCCAAAGGTTTTCAGTTAGGTAGGAGAGGCGTTTCCATAATTCCTAGGATAAATGGTTGGTTATTATCCTCCTCTTGTCAGGTTGTTGTCTCATTGGTGTGTTCATACCCTCCTTGCTCCTTTGAGTGATTTGTTCTCCTTGTGCTTGACAATTTGCCACTTGGTTTAAATGGATTTCCCGATCTTCGGGTGGGGCTTTTAGCTCGTTTCGGATATCCAATTTTCGGATGTGTTTTGTTGGTTAGAGCTAGAGATTGTTCGGTGTGCGCTTGACCCGATGTTATGGTTCCTTCCACGTGCATATTCGACCTAATCATTCGCAGTTATTGGAATAAAGTTTTCACCTCATTAGGCAAAGTTTGAAACTCAGCTTGGTGTTGTGTCCAAATTAGTTGTAATTCCTCAACTACTTTTTGTTGAGTTGTTTGATGTTGTTTTCGAACTGTTTCCAACTTTTCTATTGTCTTTTGTTGGATTTGTAGTAACTTAACGTTATTATGCTCTTGCAAGTTCTTTATCTCCTCCTGAGTTTTTTTGCTGACATTTGTCCATGTGTTTCTTCAGGTTATCAATGACGACTGCAGGATCCATATCGCCATTGGAATTGGACACCGTTTGGCTATGGATTAAAACCATAAGACGGAAGAGATCATGGTGGTCATTTTACTATAAGACCCCATGGTGTGCATCAAATGTTTTTATCCAGCTAAAGCTGACTGACAAGGTAAAAAAATGAAATCGGTTCATCGATCTTTGAGTCTCTAATTGAAGTTTTTCTTTGGAGAAGGACAAAGTACTTGCAAAAGATACTCCGATGCTCGAATCATTTTTTCATACAAGAGAGTAATATATTGTAGAATATGTACTAGGTAAGGTGATATTTACTCTCTAATTAAATTTCTTTATATAAGACTTATAAGATAATAATGATCAAAAGTATAACCAATAATAAAGATATTATAAAAAAAATTAAGATAAATAAAAATAATATCTTTAGACTAATTAAACCTGGTTTAATTAACTACCAGAATAATTATTAAAAATAATTATTTCATATTTATTACATGATAAACAATGTTTTGATATCAGTTTTTTATATAGAACCTTTTACGCGGATCAAGATGTTGCCAAACTACAATCATTTCTTCTTGTCTTTATCAAATAAAAAGCATCTTAGTTGTATATCAATTTCTATTTGACTATATGAAATTAAAGAAAAAAAAGAAGATTGGTGCAACAAAAGCACCGTTTATCATGAACATCATGAAGTTTTCATGTAGAGTCCACTAATGTCCTTTGGACTAATGTGGCCATTAAAAATATTTTGAAAGCTAATAATACATTTGTTAAAATTTACACACGATTTATTCAATTATTTACTTAACTTATAAAAAATAACTATTGGTTATATATGTTTTTAGTACTTATAAAATTAGTATATTTTAATTTTAGTCGCATAAATTGTTTTTCTTTGCTTAGTAACCCTCAAAACTTTAAACTATTGATTTTGATCCTATAAAATGAATAGTTTTTTTGTTCTCATAAAACGTTTATTTATTTTAATCTCAATAAAATCTAAAATTACAAATTTTACTCCCTAAAGTTTATTTCAAAGTAAATAAATAATATTTAATTTAAAATTCTTTTTTGTTTTGAGATATTAGATATGATTATTATATAACACATTACTAAGTTTTATTTTAGGAGGATCATTTAATCTACTAAACAAATAAGCTGCTAATGAGTGTCACATGGAGTAAAGATCAAAAGTCAAAATTTTAGTATTTTGAGAAATGAAAACTCTAAAATATTTTTCTTACAAATATCAAAATAAAAATTTGTTAATTTTCCAAATGGCAAAAAATATACAAGTCTAATAAATAATAATAAATATTAAAAATTCATATGAACGAATATATTGAGTCATCATCACCTTTTACACAATCATCTTTATCATTTAATTATTATATCGACAAGTAAATATAAAGAAAATGACTGGTGAGAGAGAAAAGGTAGTGCTTCTTCCATTTAATAATATGATTGTTTTTTATTAATATTTCTTCTACCTTGCTTGGTGTGCACTGATGTTCCCACTCCCAAAGAAAAATTTGAAATGGCCATTTTGTATAGACTAAGGAGATTTGAAATTTGGTCCTCCTGGAAGTTTAAGAGTACAAGTAAGTGAAATGCTGCTGAAAATGGAGTGACCTTCCTAAGATTTTGGTTTTGTTTTGAGCTCACAAGTCAGAACTGGAATTATCTATTCTTCAACCGTTTCCAAATTTTTTATTCATTAACGAGTTTTTCTTTAACTCGATCACCCTATTTTCTTCAGAGTGTAATGAGGAATGTTGTTTCAGGAGGGAATGTTCAGCTGTTCATTTTTTATCGCAAGAAGGGGTTTGATATGTGCTGAGGTTTTTGCAGGATCAAGTTTGGCCTTTTATCTCTCTCTAATGCACAATGGTGATGATGATGGAAATAACATGCATGATGAATAGTTGATGGCTTTTATCTTTTGCTATCAAGTGCCATCCTATGTTGGTGTGCGGAGCATCTATTCTGTCTAACATTTATTCCCTTGAAATCTGACCTGGCTTATCTTTTTTATTTTCTTCTGGGACCAATTTTCACTCACCAATTCACATTTACTTGCTTTGTGTTTGTGAGTGCTTGTTATCAAATCTTCATAAGCTCAAAGAAACTCCTTTTGTTAGAATTAGGATTGATTGTTTTCTTTCTCTGAATATTTTTCTTTCTTTTACTGGCTGGGGGGCGCTACTAATCTGAGATTGAGGTGCTTTCTGGGGAGCTCTGGAGATGCATGATATAGAATTGTAGGTTTGTGTTTGGGTTAAGAAAATGGGATCTCAAGTTGGGGCAGTTCAAGAGTCAAAGACTACTACCCCTTTGGTTAGACAAGGATCCTTGTACAATCTGACCCTCGATGAGGTGCATAACCAGCTTGGGAATTCGGGGAAGCCACTTGGCAGCATGAATCTTGATGAGTTGTTGAAGAGTGTGTGGAGTGCTGAAGTTGGTGGTGAGGCCCCTGGTTTGGACTTTGGTGGTGGTGATGCTGACATGCAGCATGCCCCGGCTGCTTCTTGCTCCTCTCTGAATCCTCAGGGGAGCCTAGCTTTGTCAAGGGATCTTAGCAGGAAAACTGTTGATGAGGTGTGGAGAGATATGCAGCTGAAGAAGGGTTCTAATAGGGATAATAAAACCCAGGAAAGACAGCCTACACTGGGTGAGATGACTCTGGAGGATTTCTTGGTGAAGGCTGGAGTGGTTGCTGATTCAAATGGGGCTTTCTCACAACATAGCCATTGGGTGCAATACCAGCTCCCTTCAGTGCAGCAGCAGAATATGATGGGGGGTTATGTTGCTGGCCATGCCATTCAGCAGCCTTTCCAGGTTGCGGTGAACCTAGTTCTGGATGCTGCTTACACCGAGACGCCCACTTCTTTAATAGGAGCGTTATCGGATACACAAACTCCCAGTCGAAAAAGGGAGGCCTCTGGTGATGTGGTAGAGAAAACTGTGGAGAGGAGGCAGAAAAGAATGATTAAAAATAGAGAATCTGCTGCTCGATCTCGGGCAAGAAGACAGGTTATATACATTTCTGTGTGTGTGATGTTATTTCTTTGAAATCTACTTGTTTTGTTTTTTTATTTGATACAAGGTATCATCTATGCTAATGGACAGGCATACACACAAGAACTGGAGATTAAAGTTAAGCAATTAGAAGAGGAGAATGAAAGGCTTAGAAGACTGAATGTATGTTTCTAATTCTTACCTTTGCTTAGTTATTTTTATCTTTTTCTTGTTTGATGAAATTTTTGTTTCTCACATCTCTTAATGACTTGTGGCTAAAGCTTGCATGTACTGTTGATTATCTGATATCTTGGATTAGGCAACTGATTTGTGACACTGAAAACATAGTGTGTTAAGGTATATGCTGCCGTTGAAGGGATAAATGATCAGTGGTAAACCTACCTGTTAGGTCTCTAGATTTTCATCATAATTGGTAACAAATGACATATTCTTTTATTTATAAAGGAAAAATAATAATGGTATTAGGCTCAAAACTAATAGTAAGAATGTTTAATGTGGTTAAACTTCCAAGATAGGCTGGTCTTTATCGCTATTATGATTCTCTATTATTTTAATTCCACAACCAAAATTCATACTACTAGTAGTTGGTTGGCAATGTATAAGTTGCAGAAAACTCCATTGATTGGCCCTGTGAATATTTCATTTTTATTACTTTGGTTTGTCTTTTGTACTGTTGGCTAACTAGGGAAGTCCTAGTGGGAAAGATTGAAAAAAAAAAATATTTCGTGTTTATCGTGTTCTTCGTTAGTGAAGTGCTTGTTTCTAGGGCTTATTAATTGCAAATGGTGTAGCACCTTTGTTAAATACTTAGTTCCTATTAACCATTGCACTGTATTACAAAATTTTCATGTTTTTCATTCTATTGAAACACAATGATTGGATTTTTATTTGTTTGAAATCTTACTGGTAGCATGGACTTTAAAAGCTTACATGTGGAATGCATTATGCTTTTGGGGTTATATCTGGTTATGAATAAAGTGCTGTGAAGGATTACGAGGTTGTTCAGCAAACTTCTCTACTGCTTGCAGACAGTTAAAACCTCACAAGATCTTCCTAACTTTGGTGCTAAATACTAGCTCCAAATATTGAAATTGTTTGAAAATATGAGACTAGGAGCTTTATCTTCCTTTGCTTACATGAAGCAGATTGATGACTTCACATGTTGAAGTTAATAATGCACATTGGTTAAGTCAGGCAAGTAATCTAGTTTTGCTTTTCTATGCTGTGGCTTCTAGAAGATTTTTTTTCAAGGTGGTCCAACCATTTTAGTTGCAGTTTTGCTTACTGATATATTTCAAGTCGATGAGAATCAATGCCACAGAAAAAAGAGAGATAAGAAAGCTAAAATAAGTTAAACATAGTGTTACTTAGTGATAGTGTTCTATAATTGTTTGCAGCATTTAGTTGTCAAACTACGTCCCCAATTATATAAGAAGTACCAAATCGTACATCGATCAAACATATGGTTAAATTGTAATATATGAATGAGGTAAAAATTTCATGTGTAAAATTAAATTAGGTATGTATTCATTTTCAATATGGATTTTATAAGTTTGTTTTGTAAGATTGTTAAATCTATATTCACTCTTTAATAATAGCAACTAAACCCTTGGGGAACTCAAAAGCATTCCATTCTACTCGATGTGAGACCTAGACACTCCGGTTCTTATCTAGAACTTGAAGCAGGACAGACTTCCTTAATGGCTTAAACATCTGGAATAGTTGTGTCATCACAATATGCTTAGATGAATTTTTCAATAAACACTTGTATAAGAAAAAGAAAGCAACACATTTTATGGAAAAAAAATTGGTTAATTTCATCTTTTTATTTACTTCTCGAATAAGTACTTGTGAAAAGTTTATAACACCGTAAGATTATTTCAGACTGTTCTTGCTTGTTTAGGATTTCCCTGATTGAGAAGTTTATTCAAACAGGGCTTTATTGGCTAATGATTGTCCTTGTTACAGGAGATCGAGAGGGCATTGCCATCTGTGCCACCACCTGAGCCTAAGCATCAGCTTCGCAGAACTAGTTCAGCCATCTTTTGATATCTTCATTGCAATGAATTCTAAATTCTTGTTCATGCAATCACATCACAAAGTGTGAGGTTATTTTTCTCTGGGTAGTTGGTTGTGATGCAATCAGTTCAACCCAGTTTGCTCTATTCTATCAATGTTTTCTCCTCTTTTGTATATTTTGATATGTTTGGTTAACAATTTAAGCTGCACCATAAATTTACTCTAATTTTGGATCCGTTTGTGGGAATTATGCAATTATATAATCACGGTTTACTCAGTCAGTTATAGCTTATTTTTTCAAGGCCTGACTGATAAAGTTTATTAGCTGAAATAATCACCTATTTTATTAAAAGTTCACATAAAATTGACAAATACAAGACATTATTTATTCACATTTAACAACAATTTGGTTATCAATGGTATCAAGTATCTACATGTTTCTCGCTTAATGCCTGGATCATCCCAAAAATCTTGTAGCAATAAATTCTGCAATTGCCATGCTTGATGTTAAACCGGGTGACTCTATTCCTAAAAGATTAATAAGACCAGGTACTCCATGAATGTCCTCTCCCTGCATAAATGGAACAGTAGTTAGAGCAAAGATACCATTGTTTGATCAAATGTTGGAAATCAAACTACTCTCTCCTCTCAAAGAAGTTCCTTAGAAATTAGTTGTTTGGGTTGAAATTAAAAAGAATAATAATTGGGACATTTCTAACAAAACTTAACTGTATGCTAGCAGTATGCACAAACCCAAAAGATGAGCATGATTTCCAAATTTCAAGAATATAATTGCTTCCTTCCATCTTATTTGAAAGATAAAAGTAGTGAGTTTATCTAGACAGAATCTACTAAGGATGTTACGTGAGTGATCTGAAATATTTTGCATGAAGGAAACATATGACATCCGTAATTAGCTTGTGCATTTACTGTCAATACTGTCACATTTTCATTCCACTGATAGAAAGTCATCATTATACCAAGTTGCCTCCTGGAACACTACAAAGCTAATTTATCAAAATTCATTACTGATAATAATATTTGGAGGTGTCTGCATTACAAGAAAGTCTAAATGCACAAGTCTAAATGATCATGATTTTAGAGCAAAGAAATACGAGGTGATGAGAATATCCCATCATAAGAAACTAGCAGCAAGTTACGTGAAGGAAAAAGGAAAAGGATAATCTAAAACATCAATGCTTCTTATCTATCTATTTGCAATAAAGTTCAACAAACTAGAAGTTTTTAGCCAAATCATATTTAACCATATTATTGGGACCATGTAGTTTCCAAAACAATAATCAGTAAGAGAAAATTGTATGGTATGAATGCAAGATAATCATGGTATCTAATGATTATGCTCTTGGTTGAAGCGTGAAGTTAAAAAGTGATACTAGTTGTCCATGACGTAAAAAGAGAAACAAAATCTATAGCATGAGACAACCCTACAAAACCAGTTTAGTATGATGAGGATTTTACTCATATATATATACTATAATGTTATTGTATTTCTATTTCACGTGGAATTTCATCACATCTTGCCATTGAGGAGATTTTTTTTCATCATCCACATTTCATCATTATCCGAGGGGGATTTTTCATCAACGTAAAAAAGAAAAACAAATTATAACAAATGTAGAAGATAGTTGTAGGACACCAATGCCAATCTTTTTCATTTATGATAAAAGTCTAGCAAATTGATATTTAATATAAGGTGGCACGGACCAATGGGCTAATTTGGAATTATTTGGAATTTACAAAACCATTCAGGAAAAATGAGACAAATGTACATATATATCATGGAAGAAATGCAGCATTGAATCTAAAATCTTGGACAATACTGTCTCTCTTATCAAATTATGGGAAATTATCAACATAAAGTTTGACTAACAATAAGAGTGTGTGAGAAAAACCTGTATAACAAAATCAGCGGGCAGCTGGGAGGGTCCTGAAAGTTTAGGTCGGATCCCTGAATATCCAGGTTCCAGAGAACCGTCCTTCAGATTTGGGTAATACTTTCTTATCTCTGGATAAAACTTCTCAGCACGATTTGGATTTACCGAATAATCAAACCTATTCATGGTTACTTAATTCAATTCTCTGAACTGAATACATATATTTTTCAAAGGCATACATGGAAAACACACCATGAAAAAAGGAAGAATATGAACAAAAGTTTTGCAGCAGCAAATTCGTATATACTAATAAGACAGCTGTCCAAATCTTTTGCTTAAAGATCATACACAGCTTTAAAATAGCTCCACTGAGGGCAAAACTAATGTATATCAACTTAAAATTTAAGATAAATTTAAAGTATAACAATCCTAAACTTTAAATAAACGAAAGGAGACAATGACTATAACTAATCCAATGGGGCATCCAAAAATATAGAGTAATGGAGTTGTATGATCTAGATACACTATTAGACACAGACAAGTAAAGCAGAATAATCCAAGCTGTAGTTCAATCAATAGGATAAGAATCAACAGATAATGCCTGTTCTTAGTAGAGTGCACAATCTACCTTCCCCATGCTAAGAAACAGTTAGAAACGAAAACCTTATTTCATTATGCTTGCAACTAGCTAGCAAAAAAAACAAACAAAGAAAAAGATCTCATGATCATGACTTGTTGTTAGTAGTTAGTTAAAGCATGTAGTAGAGTTGTTCAAGTACTTATTGCAATAGTGGTAGGGTGAAAAAAGCTCCAGGTGACAATGATATGTTGGGTAGTAGGACATGCAATAGAACCGTATACTAAAATATATCAAAAGCATGCAAATGACAGGAAGTACTTATTCTGAAAGCTCGAGATATCGTCAACACTGTCAATCCATTCAACATTTGGGCCAAACTTGACCTGACCATTCAAGTCTATAGTAACATGCACTCCAATGCCGCCATCCTCTGGTATAGGATATATCAAACGTGTGAAAGGAGAGGCTTTAGTGTTAGATAATGTAAAGTAGCAACCGCGTGCATAGTAAGAAGGAGGAAAAACTCCACTTTTTAGGCCACTAAATCGTTTTGCAAGGGCTGGGGCACTTAGGCCTGTAGAGTTCACAACGAGTCTAGAACTTAGTAGTAGTTCTGGATGCAAAATTGATGTCCCTTTCCATTCTTTAAGATGGTCAGTTTCTGTCACATGAACACAAATATCATTTCCTTCGACATGGCCACCAATGACTGTTGAATTGTACGTGAAGGTTGCTCCATGACTTTCAGATTCCCCCTGGACCAACATGATGTTCATATTCTTGTCAATATATCATTCTAACTCAAAATAAAGGAAATGGATGATTACGAAAAGCTGATTGCAAAATAGATAGATTCACAATGATTGCATGTCTTAATTCATCTTTACAATATGGTAAAAGAAGATAGAAATGCATACCACTAAAGAAAGCATTAAAGAATGAGAATCAACAATCCCAGTGACAGGTGATAGTATTGCTCTCTCGCATTGCAATTCAGGTTCCATTTTCATGGCCTCAACACCATCTACCATCTTCAAACCATCAACTCCATTTTGAATCCCGCAATTTAAAATATCATTTAACTTTGGAATCTCAGAAGATCGAGTAGCCACTATAAGCTTACCAATTTGTTGATGTGGAATATCATGCTTAGAGCAATACTCATATAACATTTTTCTTCCCCTTACACAAAAAATTGCCTGCAAAAACAGACTGAATTATGGTCTACACGGAAGGGGGGAAAGGCTGTAGTCATGTCTTGGTTAGTCGCTGGGAAAAAGAGTCAGCAAACAAAAAGTCACAAGTATATGGTAGGAATGTAATTATACGTTTTAGAATTAGAAACATAGAAAACTATCCTTTAATTTCACTTTATATGGCATAAATAATAGCCCTAAAGGCCTGAACTAAGGTAACCAACTCACTGAAAACAGTTCACTCTTGATAATTAAAGTGAGGTTAGAATATAAATCGTATTTGCTGCTCCTACCATATAACATCAACTTTATTCGGTAGAACTATAGCGTAATGATTCATCAAATGTTTTTACTTTTACCCAAGTGTCGATGTTTAACTAATGCATTCAGTAGAAGTTCAAATGCAAAAATGTCATCTCTTAATCCATTGCCTCCCAATTTATTAACTTAAATGATCAAGCCTTCTACGTCAATGAATGACCCAATCATTTGAGTCTCCAATACCCAAGATGCTCTTTTCACCTACTAACACATAACACCAAGATTTCAGCCCCCAAGTGAAGATTTCTCGAGTTAATTTGGCCACAATTCTGGCTATATCGACCACATTTGTCAGCAATTTTAACGAAATGAAGCATAGGATAATAATGGCAACTATATTTTGTTGGCGTATATAAAAATGACAACTTTGATTACAAGGGAGACACTAACCTTGAATGAATTGGCAGGATAATAGATTCCAGCATGAATAACTTCACTGTTTCGGGAACTAGTTCCTGTTCCAAATGTGGGGGCTGATTCTACGACTAACACTTCCCTGCCCTTAAGTGCTAGGGCTCTTGCCACTGCTATGCCAACCACACCAGCTCCTATCACTACGCACTCCACTCTCTCCTTTGGAACACTGTACCAGGTTGTCCTATTGTTATGATTATTATTTTGGGGGCTGCTGCACGTGCTTCTCACCCAATTGCCAAATAAGTGTTTCTTCCATTTCATATGAACATTACCACTTCTTCTTGAAGCTGATATGCATCCTTCCAACCTTTGAATTGTTTGCTTCAGCATTCTTTCAGTGTGAGGCTGTTTCAACTCTCACCTTGTTTGTTTGTATTTTTTTTTTTGGTGGAAGAGAGAGGATTACAAGTACAGGATGAAATCATGGATCACCATTAACAAAGGAGTTTTTGGAGAGATTATATCTAGGTTGTGAAATTCTCATCTACAGAGGATCCGTGTTTACAAATTGTCTCGTCGAATGGAAATTAGAAACATTCATGAAAAAACTATTGGTCGAGCATCCTAAAGTTGTAATGGGATGTAAAGTAAAAAATTAAAAATAAAAAATTAAAAGAGTAATTCAATAATGAAAAGTTTTATCAATTTTAATTTATTTATAAAACTTTTACGATTAACATTTATAATTTAATTTTAATAGATTTATACATTAACTATGAAAAAGATGTTAAAAAATTACATCAATTTATAAATTTTAGAATAATTATTTAATTTTTTATTTAACAAATGTTTATATTAAAAATAAAAGGCAATTGTTTCAATTTTAAAGTGGCAAACACGTAAATGTTTTATTATGATTAAATAATATTTAAATAATTGGAATAACTAGTTGTTTTAAAATATTGAAAATTATAATAGTTAATAAAAAAATTTATAAGCTTATGTAATATTAGTTGCGGCTAAAGGAGTTCGTAATTGGTGATATTAGTTGTGGCTAAAAGAGTTCATAATTCATTTTAATAGTAAAAGTTTATAGACTCACAAGTTCCAAAAGACATGGGTAGAGTGGTTGAAGCTTATTAAAATATTTTCTTATGTAATTAAGTACAAAAATGGTGATAAAATTAAATTGAGGAAGAATTCTTTTGAAGAAGAAGGAAATGGTGGAGATTTAATAAGTGAACCAAAGAATTTTATGACATTAGAAGTCTATGACTAGATCTATTACTTAGAGGATGAAGCAAGTTTTGCAACACCTAATGGTAGATATAACAAGCTCAAGATGCATTAGAGTTTGAGATTAACCTCTTCACCACTATACAACTTTTTACAACAAATAAAGTGATCTAAAAGAGCTATTAGGATGAGTTTTTCCCTGATAAGAACAAATAAGATATACCTTTTTTTATCAGAAGAAGATCAAGAAGAGAAAATGACATAAAAGAAGAAATCTCAAGGAAGTTGCCTTGTATCCAAAAGAAATGATCGTGAGTTAAGAAGAGAAAAAAAAAGTGTGATTATTTGCTTTGCTTATATAAAATAAATAACTTCTTAAGTATGTTTATTTGAAAGAAATAAAAAATAATAATTTTGCTTCTCATTTTATAAGTGGTCGTAGATTAGAGGTAGTTGAAAATTTCTTTTCTCAGCAAGTGTGATCACGAGTTAACAGAAAAAACTGACGGATATTGATGAAATCTTTTAGAATAGTTATTACTAAGCTATCTAATAATGTGTATTAAGAATATATCCTTATTTTTATTTAAATTAGGTATTAATAAATTTTTATTATGTTTTAGAATAAGAGAAAAAAGATATTCTATTATTATTTAGATTTTGAGAGTTAAAATTAAGATATTGTTAATATTTGATATTTTGTTATATTTTATATATATATATATATATATATATATATATATATATATATAGAATAATGAATAAAATAAATATATAAAGAGAGAAGTTCCACCATATCATATATAAAAAATATATATATGCAAAAATTATAAACTATTCTAGTAGTGATATTAGAGTTTTGGTCTTTACTAGAATTGTAGAATAGAAAGAGAAGAAAGTTCTTCACAAAGTTGTCATTTCACTTTTCGATGATAAAATTTATGATTTATAGGTTGTGAGAATATAATCATATTTTGAAAGATTAGATTTATAGGAAGTTGATTTACTACTTGAAAATTTCATCATAATCCAAATCAAAATTCGGAAGAAAAGAAAAACGAGGTAAACAAAAAAAAAAGTCATGATCTATACAAGAATCATGACCCTAAAGTCACCTAAAATAATTTGGGATTATTTGAAAAAAAAATATAAAGGGAATGAGAGAATTTAGGATATGAAAGTTTTAAACTTGATAAAAGAACTTAAGATACAAAGGATGAAAGAGGTTGAGATAATTAAGGAATACTAAACAAATTGTTGGATATTATTAATAAGATAAAATTGTTAGGTAAGGAATTTATAGATTGTAGACTAGTTGAAAATTTTGGTAATTTTGCCAAAGAGATATGAAACATTTATTGTTTTGTTGGAAAATACAAAAGATCTGTCTAAAATTATTTTGGCATAAGTGTTACATGTTTTACAAGTGCAAGAATAATGAATATTGATGAGAGAAGATCATGTTATTGAATGTGCTTTACTATATCATATTGAAGGTTCCCTCCAAGTCAAGAATAATAAAGGTAACAAATCACATGCCTTTTTTATTTGTTCCTATTACAAGAAAAATAATCACCCACATAAGAAGTATTGGTGGATCCTAGATGTAAAATGTCTCAAATGTGGTCAATTGAGACATGTAGAAAAGATATACAAATCATATAAGAAGAAGTTGTCAAAGTTATAAAGGGTGAAGTAGAAGAGGAACTTCTCCTTGCAACAACATGTTTGCATTCAATAGGTTGACTTACAAGTAGTGGTTATACAAACCACATTGTCGCCGCCGTCAAAAGAGGCGGTCGGAGCGACGCGATGGTTCTTTCGATTCGACTCACATTTTTAAAAAGTGTGGTCATCACCCTTAGGATGTCCGATAACCAAACTATTCTAAGGATGAGGTTTTCATAAGTGGGTTCTGGAGTCGCCACCAATATTTTTACCAAAAACATTGGAAAAGGAAAAGAGGGCGATGGTTTTAAGAAAAACCAACTTTGGTCATTACAACCAGAGTTAAGTAATAGAGTTAGTTACGTGTGGGGAAGGTATTAGCTTCCCCACGACGCCCCTTTCGGGTTCCCTATAATGGACTGTTTATTGTAAAGAGCATTAAAACTATGCTTTTACCCTTATTTATTCATTGCAAAATTTAAATTATTGACTACATGGCCCTAATAACTAATGCACAAAGATGGTAACTAATAAAAGTAATAATAATAAAGTAAGGGATATAGAGGAACCTTCAAAGCAAGCTTTTATAAATGTTCTTGTAAATGGCGCTTTTTGGCAAACTCCACGCTCTACAATGCTGCTCACTCTTCTCCCAAAGGACTCTAGAATGTCTAAAAAGAACCCTAAAACTCTGGAAATGCTTCAGAGGGATTCTAGAAGAGTATAGGAAAGTGTATTCAGTTGGAGTCGTTGTTAAAAACGAGGAGAGGACCCCCCTTATATAGAAATTCATGCCCATTAGACTGGGACCACCGTCTCGCCTTTGGTAAATTGCGAGACGGCAGTCTCGCTTTTGACATATGGCAAGACGACGGTCTCGCTTTTGACAAATGGCAAGACAACGGTCTCGCTTTTGACAAATGGTGAGACGACGGTCTCGCTTTTGACAAATGGCGAGATGGCGGTCTTGGTCTTCTGGGTAGAATTTTCTTATTTTTGTGTACAAAAAGCCTTCATATTCTAATATGGATCCTATTGAACAATCCTAGGGACCTTTAAGGCCTTGTCCATCTTCGAACGAAAGTCTTTTGCTCTTTATTTTGAGGTCAGGCAAGATTTGGGGTCTATAGCTGCCCCCCCTTCACCTGACTAGCCGACCGTTGGCTCAATATGCCAAAAGATCGGCTGGAGGGTGAAGGAGTTGACCCTCTTGCCTGGTTGTCCTTCGGTTGCTTTCCTCGTCATGGTAGCCGACCTTTTGGACGCTGAATGTGATCCTCAAGGATGCTCCTTTAATGCGGTAACTGACCCCTTTGGTTGTAAAATTTGGTTTAAGCCCCCTTTAGTAAGGCTTGATGAGTACGCACCCCCATTTGGTTTTGACGAGTATGAACCCCCGTCTGGTTGTTGTAGAACTTGCAGCCCACTTTGTAGGACTGGATGAGTATGCACCCTCATCTGGTTTGGTGAGTACGAACCCCCGTCTTGTTATTATAGCCTTAGGATGCTCCTTTAATGCGGTAGTTGACCCCTTGGCTGACAAGTTGGAAACCTCAGGATGCTCCTTTGGTGCGGTAGCTAACCCCTTGGTTGATGAGTATGAACCCTCATCTGGTTTGGCGAGTATGAACTCTCGTCTGGTTTGGAAGTCCACTTTGTAAGACTGGTGTGACTTACTGATTTTTTTTCATGCGCAATCTCTGTGGGGAGTGTTTTTTGCTTGATAAATTATTTTTTACTTTTCTGATGTAGTCATCCGGTGTGCCAGGGATTCGTTGGTTCTCTTCCAACTGGTTGAGTGCTGGGGAATTCTTTATGTTTTGGGCTTTTTGTAATAGCCATTTGACTTTGTTGGTTGTCGGGGATTTTTGGTAAATGCCTTTTACGCAGGCGGGAATCCATTGGGGATTTTTTGATTTTTGTGACGCCTTTGAGCAGGCAAATGTTTTGCTTGATTGCCTTCTCTCTTTGATGGGAGAATGGTGGTTAATACTTGAGAGCTTTTTAGTTTCCCCTTTTTCCGCGGTTTATTCTTTTTTCTCGCGATTATGGATTTTGGCTTTTCGGGATAATGCATATGTCTTTTTACTTTTTAGTATTTTTTTAGAGGAATATAGGACCATGTTCACGAACATCTATGCATGCAATGTTTTCATGTTATGTGTCCTATAATGCTATTTAGTTAACTTTTCAGAAGGGTTAACTGATGTGTCTTTTGAAGACGAGGCCCTTCTGATGTTGTTCTTTAGCTGTATTTATTTGTACCATTCCGGACTTGCTATGACTGAAGAATAATTGTTGACTGAGGAGCAAACTTGCCATATTGGTGTGATTTTTCCTTTCTCTGGAGTTTTCAATCCTCTTGTTGATTATATGCCTCCATATTCCCCCATTGATTATCAGAATATTGTGATAAGGCTTAAGAGAAGAGAAGGAGGAGAATAATTTATTCAAGGGCTTGTGTTTTAGAAGTTTTTTTTATTTTT